GGGGGAGCGTACGGGGGAAGAGGGGGAAGGCGGCAAGGAAAGTGACGAGTTGCCCAAACAAGGGATTCTGCAGATTGGATTGTCGGGGGTCCAGCGCCCTGCTTTCTGAGCCAATCGGTTCCCGACAAACAACAATGACAACAACAACAAGAACAATGACAACAACAACAAAGGGAAAGCTGAGTCAATCTGTGACAACATTGTTTGCAAAAAACGAAAACACAGCAGAGCATGGAGTACGCTATTTCTGTGTTGCTCATGTTCGCTATACTTACGTTGGACACTACAAAAAAAAAAAAAAAAAAAAAAGCATGACTGTGCCGAACAGACTGTTTCGTCAGACTTTCACCGACTCATCAGGAGGCTAAACCCCTGTGTGTGTGTGTGTGTGTGTGTGTGTGTGTGAGAGAGAGAGAGAGAGAGAGAGAGAGAGAGAGAGAGAGAGAGAGAGAGAGAGAGGAGGAGGAGGAGGAGGAGGAGGTGTGAAATTGAAGAGGAAGGCGAAAGCAACAGGAGACAGGCGGAAACGGAAAAGAGAAGGATTCGAACCGGGGACCATGTTGGAGAACTAAATCTGTAATTACTGCATGTAATAATAGTAATTGCCTTATCCAAAGACAAATATAGCCTTATCCAAAGACAAATAAGATCCAAAAAAAAAAAAAAGAAAAAAAAAGACCAATATAGCCTTATCCAAAGACGAAGACAGCCTTATCCAAAGACGAATGTAGCCTTACAGTTCTTTGTTTTGTGTCTTCAGTCTTCAGAACGTCGTTCGCATCGGAGGGCGTCTCAGCTCACACTCAATCCAGCGTTTTTTCTTGATTTATGCGTGTCATCCTTGCGCAGGGGTCATCATTTTGCTAATTACCCTTCTCCGTATCGTTCCAACTTCAACGGATGCCACGAAGGACCAGTCCAGCTTTGCAGCGACTGATTGGCGCAGAAGGCAACCAATATATTGGATATTAAGGCAATAATATATTATTGTTGTTATCCATATTATCCTATTAGTACTATAACATCCAAAAATTATAACATTTTAGCGATTGGATAAGGCAATTTATTCATTGGCAAAAAAAAAAAAAAAAAAGAAGGCTCCAAGATTCGATCATGGCATGGTTGACGAAATCTTATCCAGTCTGCTGCACGACGGCCGCGTCGGGATCGGGATCTCTTCTGCCGGGGACCAGCGGCAGCACCTGTTCGAACCCCCCTCCTCCTAATCTGCCGCATGGACACCACCGAATGACCGCGAGTCGCGGCGTCGCGGCAGGGATCTCGGTCAGGTCGTCTTGCTCACCCTCGTCACTAAGCTATCCCGACGGAGAAGCAATGATTGCCTCCGCCGCCTCTGATCGCATGCATTCTCTCTCTGCTCCACGGCTATGGCGTTCGTCGTCCTCAGCCTTTCCTTCGTGCTGTCGTCTTGCGGAGACTGATAATTGCTCCTTGGCTTCGCGAAGGGCCACTCTGAGAGGACGACGGGGAGGAGGAGTAGGAGGCGGAGGAGGAGGAGGAGGAGGAGGAGGAGGCGAAAGAAGGGGGGTTGATTCTGTAATTCCCGCCGCCGCCGCAGAGACGGGGGGGGGAGGGGCAGGTGACTCTGCTCCTACTGATGGGGAGGAGGGGGGGAACTTGGTAGCACAAGAAACCATGAGGGCAATTGCGAAACCGGTTCTGAAAAAGGGGGACATCGTCAGAGTGGATAAGGAACTTTATCTGAAGAGCGTCGAATTCAAGGCCGTCGATCATCCGCCCAATTTCACTGGGCTGGATTACATCTACGAGGACAGGGGGGAGGTGCTCGACATCCGGGAGTTCGAGGCGGGGGAGTACTGCTTGCTAGCGTGGGCCGGCATCCCGACTGCGCCGGCGTGGCTGCCGACTTACATGCTCATCAAAGCGGAGAGGCTGTCGTACGTTCGCGACTAAATGAATGGAGATCAGCTTCAAAAAAAATGAAAATGATGAAAATGATTTACTGTAAAAAAAGAAAAAAATCAAGGACAGAGGGGAGGGACATCGAGGCGGGGGGAATACTTGCTTGCTACTGCCGGTAGCCTGGGTCGGGATTCCGACTGCACCCACCGGCGGCTTGGCTGCCTTGCGAAGATGCTCATCAAATCTGAGAAGCTGTTT